GTGTGTGTGTGTGTGTGTGTGTGTGTGTGTGTGTGTGTGTGTCAAAAAAATTAATACAAACATTCGCTTCTAGTCTTCACGTTTCCAGATATTCCAACAATTTATTTAAAGTTGCATTCTGAATCTAAAGCTTGCATTGTGACAACACTGGTCCAAACAGGGCTCTGTTATTTCTCACCTGAGCCCCCCCTGACAGCTTCTCCAGCTCTGCCTTGCAGCGCTGCAGCTCCTCCTCCAGCTCCGCCCTCTCTCTCTGACTGCTGTCGTACAGAATCTGCAGCTGCTTCAGCTCCATCTTCAAACCATCACACTGGACCACAAAAACATCAAACACTCAATTTGTTTGGATTAAAAAGAGAAAACTTTGTGTCCTAAACTGGTCAATCCCATCAGATCTTGGTTTTGCTCTGTTTCTAAAGCCTCCTACCTCCCTCTGCACCTTGAAGGCCTTCTCCTCGGCCTGCTTCAGCTGGTCTCTCAGAGACAGGATCTCACCGATGCCTCCGTTCCAGCTCGTGGGCGTCACCGGCTTCCCGTCAAACGAGATGTTCTTCTGGATGGAGGCGTCCACCAGGTGACAGTTCTCAGACTGAGCCATGGTCATGTAGGTTTCTGTCATCACCTCATCGGAGGTCACCTTCGTCTCCCCGACCTCTGTGCCCTCCACCGTGTCTTCCTCTTTCAGTGACAGGTAGACGCTGGAGCTGCACGGTGCAGAATGAAAAATACTTTCAGAGCTTCCATGTTTTTATCACAACAATATTTTCAATTGATCGTTTTTTTTATTTACATTTACCACCAAAAGGTGAAAATCTGTGTTAGTGTGTGCATGTGTGTGTGTTTGTCTGATAGCAAAATGTCTCATAACACTCTGGACAGATTCTAATGAAACATTAGAAAAGTAATCACTGGTCATTCAACACGGCTCCCACATCTGATTAACCTTAGTCAACACAAAAATGATAATAATTCTGTTTTACAGATATTAAACTAAGATTTAATTTGGTAGTAGATGAGATGGGAATCAGTCACAACACACGCTTCACACATAGCAGATGTGTGGGTCAGATCTGGTGTTGAGCTGGCTCATTGCTGGTTTGTCAGTGCTTTGTCAACTGGACGTGGGCCAGGTCTGGCACTGATGACACTGTTTTTAAAATGGCATGCCACAACTGGCCCAGATGCAGTTTGGTTTAAATTTTTATTTTAAATGTGAAGGGGACACTTCTCCTTCACAACAAATGATGGTGACATCTATAGACTATTTGTCCTCTTCTCTAAAAAGTCACGTGATCATCTTTAATTTGATGTTTACAAAAACATCAACAAGGAACAAGATTCTTCAATTTTAAAGCCACTACCTTTTATAAATATTTAAAAAAAACTATTTTATTGGCTTGTTTATGTATAGTGAACAAAAACAGTAATTATAAACACCTAAAATTAGAAATAAAAAGACTAAGGAAAGCACAGTTACAAACTACATCTGCTGTAGCATTATCCCAAACTATTACTTTATTTGTTTTTTCATTCCATATTAATTTCAATAATATGTTTTTGGTCTGTGAGGGAAAACTGGAGTATCTGAAGAAAACCCATTCATGCACAAGGAGAACGTGTTGATACAAACCAAAAAGGTCTCAGGCTGGGATTTTATCTAGCAACCTTCTTGCTGAGAGGCAACATTTTGCTCTATCAACTATGGCTCTGTGCTGCCTAATTTATTTATATTTATAATTAAAATGTATTTATGCATATAACCGCCTGAGAATCTCCATCTTATTGTTGAGGACATTGATTTAAGACAGGTTGTCCTTATTCAGAGTGATTAGATTTAAAGCTTTATTTTTAATTTTAAACAAAATATACATTCATATTTTCTACTCATAATAAAAAAACAATGTTTGTTTTTATATTATGAGGTTCTGCTGATAATAAATAGCTCCAAATTGGAAAATGAGGTTTGGTTTATGTTGCCCAAATCCATCAATGCCACAACTGGCCCAGTTGTGGTAGGAATATGTGGTGCCGGCCCATGCATGGATAACCTCTGGCAAACCACATCTGGGCCACCAAAGGGTGGTCGTTCTTTGAGGTATCTGGGCTGAGCGGTAGTGCCTTGTGTGGGCCAGAATTGAGCCAGACGAGTTTTGCTCCGTGGGTTTGACTGCAAATAAATCGCCCAAAAACTTGCAGGCACAGATGACGGTCATTTTGAGGCTTGCTCGAAAAACAGCTCCGACTTCAAAGTTTCTCAACATGAGACAGTTTTAAAAACCTGGCATGAAAGGCAGGGGATAATGTGCATTTCTTTAAGCCGGTCTTTTAATAAATCTCTAAACAATTTCAGCTCACGCCAAACGTTGTCAGCGCCCGTAAAGAGCCGGTTGTGTCATGTTACATGTTTACTGCGGCAATTAAACAGGTGGTCGGTATTTTTTACATGACATGTGGCTGTGATGGGGAGGGGGCTGTATTCCAAAGGGTATCCCCGCCTCCCCCCACCACCACGGCAGTGATCAAATGAACACAGCGGATGGGTGAGCAGCCGTTGACCTCTCACCATGTCCTCTGTCTCTGCAGCAGCTGCAGCCTCTCAGAGAGACGTCTGTTGTCCTCCTTCAGGGTCTGACACTCCTCCCTCAGCATGCGGCACTCCTCCTTCAGCAGGTCCACGTCACCTGACAGAACCCAGACGAAGATATCTAAAGGTTCGCGTGTTTGTTTACAGATTTAATATCTCACATATGTTCACTCTTCTGTTAAACATGCTTTACTGCCTCCCAAAAAACAACACGGTTTTTTGCTTACACCCAGCATTGCTGCAGGACTTTTTGCGTCATCTTCCCTCTAAAATATATTCTGTTTTACCTCTTGTCTCTTTAAACGATCCTCCCAAAAGACCCAATTTGCTCTGAGTTGTCAAAAAAAGGAAGGTGTAGAGCACGACAGCTGTTCACTTGTTGTTTTAAGGCATGACAAGCTAGCCACAAGGCAGATTTTATGCAAATATGTCAAAACAAATGGAAAACAATTGAAACTTTTGAGACAATTGAAGCCCTGCTCTCTATTGGGAAACAAGAAAATCCCTTTGTTTATCTTTTATTTTCTTTTATTTTTTTTTTGGCCTTCATAATTTTCAGACATATTACATGTCCCAATAAAAACAGATTTTAAAAACAAAAAAGCAAGATTATGAGATATTTACTTGGTGCTTGGTCGTGAAGGAAAATATCTAATAAGGAATCAAAATCCACTTTTTTCTCATATTGATGGTAATATTGTCTTCAAATACAAAATTTGGCAAGCTAATTTTGTAAACAGCTGCCAACGACCACGTGTGTGTGCCAGGTTTTGTCAGACCAAACACGGGCAGCTTGAATAAAACCCAATAATTTCATGACAGACCAAAACAAAAAGTGGATGTGGTAGCAAATCAGACGAGGAAACAAAAAACTCAAGGAGACATGGAGGAGGACCAGACTGTGGATGGATATCACAATGCCAGACTGCTGGTGAGGTGCGGACTAAATGGCCAAAGTGGAGACACCTGAGCTAAATGCCAGCTGGGAACAGGTGAGAGTGGGCGTGGCAGGAGCTGAGGAGCAAAACCAGAAACTTTGAAACTAATGGAAGTGACTGAAAAAAGGGTCAACAATAGTGACGTCCATGAAAGAGCTGTGATGGTTTTGATGTATTTATGCTCAGATGTGTTTAATAAAGTACAGTGAAAATCTTTTGTTTACAGTACGTGCGTATACCTGCATTACAGAAATGCATGTCAACACACCTGGAAAATTACTGGCGCAAACTGTTTCAGACTGCGCCATCAATTAAAGTTCAGATTAGTGTATGATGTATGTTTTATTTCATACTGTGCAAAAAGTATGTTTACTATTCGATGCAGGCCAGATGGAATGTTTCTACTTGTGGATTTAGCATATTTAAAGCAAATATGGAGGTGCACCAGTTTTAAAAATGTGTTTTTTACCATGCTAACATCTGTTCATTAAATTAGACTAGAGGAAACATCTGGTTTAAAAATAAATAAATTAGGAAGAAACAAGCAGTGTGTGTCAATCTTTTACTGTCAACTATTACTTTTCAGATAATATCAAGTTTGATTTGTATAATAACGACGTTTAAATCCCTTTTTTTCCCTTTTTTATATTCTTAAAGGGGCAATATCATGTAAAATCAGCTTTTTTGAGTTTTATATCATGTTATAATGTTATACTCTCATAAAAAAACACGCCCAAAGCCTTACTTTGACTCATTCATGCATGTTTGAGAAATCCTGCAGCGTTTTTAGGAAGACATGCTGAGGAGCAAAACGACAGGTGGGGACTAGAAACACCTTTTGGTACCAGGAACACCCCTGGGACATGTCTTTAAGCCGAACTTCCTCATGGCGGAGCACCTCTCCCTACACGCCCCGCCCATGACTCCTGCAGGGTCTCGGGTGAAAGTGAAACCTAACTGTCTGCTGAGCTCTCAACATTAGTTCTCACTGAGTGAAGCTCTTTCAGATTCAAAATACCTTTGAGGAAATGTATTTTCAGATGCCAAGTAAACTGCATCATTGCACACACATACACCCCCGAATCCCACCTCCCACGATGAAATGGGCAGGACAGAAGCAGAAGGTGGTTCTTAAAGAGACAGAGGCCAATTTCAAGGCGTTTAGAAGAGGAAGTGATGAGAAGATAAGTTTATTTTCTATTTAAACATAAAAACAGCATTTTAATAACAGCTAAAGGTGACATTGATACTTTATTATGGTATAATATTTAAATGTATGCCTGAGAAACACATAATGTTGGCCCTTTAAAAAAACACACTAAAACATGACAATTCCTTGTTTTGTTGCAGCTCAGCTGTTGAAATCTGGTAAAATTATGTGTTGGAAAACTGTGTTCCTCTCTGATCTCATGATGCTGGTATCAGAGTTTTACACACACACACACACACACACACGCACGCACGCACGCACGCACGCACGCACGCACACACACACACACACACTATGCGGCACTCAGCAGTCACAGTTGTAATTATTGCAGCCTGTGGATGATTTATGTTCCTGACAGCAGGATGCTAACATGATGTGAGGGAAGAAGACCATTCATAACCTTCTGTTTGGTTTTTGTAATCTCAGCCTCAGTGACAGATTGTAGGTAATTTGTTTGAGCAGCATGTTGGATTAATTCAATAAACTGAGCAGAAGCATAAATCTTTGTCATTACGCTTTGTGTTCATTGTTCGTTCATTCTTGTTTGGACACAGATGTTTATTTGAGGAGAAACGACTCGTCTCAGTGTTTCACCTTTTCTCCCTGACATCAGGTGTGTGTTTGTTTTATCCTTCGTGTCTCACCCTCTCTCCTCTCGGCCTCCCTGCGCTGGCTCTTCATGCTGATCTCTGCCCTCAGCGTGGTGATCTCCAGCTCGTACTCCTGGGTCTCCTCGGTGAGACGCTCCAGCTCTGCCCGCCGGCGACACAGCTCCTCCTGCAGCGAGGCGATGTCGTTCTCCCGCTCGGCGGCAGCCTCCTCCGCCGTCTGCTGCAGCAGGAGCACCTCCTCCTGGGCCGCGCGCAGCTCCTCCTGGGCCTCGGCCAGCTCGCTCTCCTTCTCCTCCTCCAGGCTGTTCATCTCCTCCTGCACAGAGCGCAGCTGGGCTGCGGCGGAAAGAGGAGGAGGTGAGCCGCTCCTTTATGGGAGGTGTGTGTGAGAGACTGCAGAGTCAACCTGAGTTTAATGTGTGTTTATGTGTGATCTCACCTGAGGTTCTGCAGGAGTGGGCCTGTGTGGGTTTAGCTGTGTGGGTGGTGTGTTCTTGTGTGAGCCATACTTTGTGTGTTTTGGTGTTTGAAAGAGGAGCTGATGTAACTGAAGGCAACAAATCTGTTTTGGGGTTTTTTTTCTTCAGGAAAAAGTTACATTTATTAGTTTGATTATCTAAAGAAGGGATGACTTTGTAAGGAATACCTCCAACATAACTTCTCATATTTAACCTAATTAATATCGACTAATATTAATATAGTTAATATACGAGGAAACGGGTTCTTTGCGATTTTAAATACTAATAATAATAACCATCACCTTTATTATGACCAAGACTTTGACAATGAGTATCGT